AGGTTCGGTGTGGACTTGTTGGGCCGAAGGGCCTGTTTCCACTCTGTCGGGTTTCTGTGAGAATGTTTGTGGTTTACAGTCTTTGGGATGTCCAACCTCAAAATTCCAGGCATCAAACTGGCACTGAATTCCATCACATTGCTCATGTTTCATCCTTTCTGATTGGCAAAATGTTTTTTTGGCTTGATGACCTCATTCTGTTAGTGAAGAAAACCACACTTAAGTTTACTGTATAACAGAATGAGACAGCTAGCTGCACCTTCAAAATTTTTGAGACACCTTCCCTTCCAGAGTAACCTGAGGTGGATTGGGCACTGCTTAGGTTCAAATGTGGTGAACACACATCCCTTTTTGTGAGTTTGTGTTATTCAGGGGTGAAGAAGGGCCCCGACCCAAAATGTCAACTTTCGTGCTCCTCTGATGCTGCCTGGCCTGCTGTGTTCCTCCAGCTCCACACTTTGTTATCTCTGACTCCAGCATCTGCAGTTCTTGCTATTTCAAAGTAGAATTGAGGATTTTTAGTTCAGTAGTGATCTCGCTGAATAGTGGATCAGACTCAGTGAAGTTATTTACTGAATTGAGGAATTGGTGAGATGCAAAATTCAGAGGCAACCTGGCCTAAAAGATTGCTGTTAGACATGTTCTGTTCGAATTTCAACTGCAAACTGGGTGATCCCAAATGTGAAATTTAATTCAGCTCTGAGTGGGCAACATAGGATCACTATGGCGCAGATTGAAGCCATGACCTGAAGAGCATCCTACCCTTTCCGACAGTACCACATTTACCATGGTTAACCCACCTAGCCTGCATATCCCTGAACACCATAGGGGAATCTGCACATCTTTGGACTGTGAGTGAAAACTAGAGCACTTGGAGGAAACCCACACAGACATGGGGGCAACGTGCAAACTTCACATGGACAGTCACCCGAAGCTGGAACGAAACACACGTCCCCTGGAGCTGTGAGGCAGCAGTGCTAGCCATTGAGTCACCATTTTGGGGATAGTTTGTTAGAAAATTTGCACCTAATCCTTCTATTGCTGCGCATTTCTGTTCTGATGCCATTAAATGACTCACAAATTCACTTTTTGAAATTTTTCAATTAAAATCTCTAAACTTTTCATTTTTCACTTATTCTAAGCTATTTTGTTATTTGGTTGATTAGAGGGTCTGTTAATTGCATTTACTAAAAGCTTGTAGATCTGAACAAGTACACCTCATAATTTCCCCTCATCACTGGGTAACGTATTGTTTACTATGTGTTTTGCTTCATTTTGTGTGTCACTTCAGGCCTCAGCGTGCTGTATTTCCTTTTTCTGGTGTTTCTGCTGTTCCTGAATTTTGAACAAGTGAAATCTGTCATGTATTGGCTGGATCCCAATCTACGCTATGCCACACGTGAAGCAGATGTAATGGTATGTAGAACAGGAGTGCATTTAGATTATCCAGTTGCTCCCCTGTTGTAACGATACTTTCATGAAGATTGAAAGCCTGGCTCTTATCATTTGTCATTCCTTAGCATTTTCACCAAGGAGAAAAATCTAAGACACACAGAAAGTATTGTATTTAAATTCATTGATTTTTTTTTGCATTCATTTACAGTGCCTTACTGTATTTAGCACTTTTGTAATCTTATTTTTCTTCACTTTCACTACATATTTAATCAAGTGACTGACTTGTATGATATTTGTAAACATCACATGTTTTATTGTTTCAGTTGATGTGAAGTTCAATTCTCAAATGATCAGAATATTATTTCATGGATGAGTAGAGTTGCTGTTATTTTGCAGTAAATTAAATCAATGGCAAATGTGCTATACATGAAATGAAATACTCTGGAGTCAGTCAAACTCAATTTAACAGATGAGCATTGATGCAGTTAGAGCCTTAGATGTACAAATGGTAACATTTGCATTGCAACGGTGACTAGTCAAAGCATGTAACCGGAATTAATTTAGAAATATTCTTCTTTAGTTATCACTAGTTGAACAATTTTAAATTGTTTTCTTTTCATGTTGTCCTTTGACAGCATATAACCAAATGTATGTGTAAACAACTGTAAATCCTGTCATTATTAGTAAGGTGAGAAGGATATTTTGCAATTTGGAATCAGGTGCCTGCCTATTCTGTTGTAAATAAGTAACCTTTGAAGAGTAATTCTATGGAAATGCTTGGTTAAGATTGCTAGTTTGTTCTAATACAGGTCAGTGCCTAGCAAGGAGACCCAAGTTCAACTAAAGTCACAGATCGTATTTTGCAATTGACTTTTCTTCATTTCTCTGATCATTATGATTAACATTTCAGGGAGAAAGTTGAAACTGCAGTGTTGTTGAGAGGAATTGGTCTTGTTGAAGTTACTTTCTCCTGGCTCAGTCAAGGAACAACATTCATGATTTTATGGAAATGTGAATTTAATGTTTCTTTGCTGACTTGTGGTTGAAATGCATGGGACCTTTTCTAAAAAAAAATCTATTATTCTAAATGTTATGCGTTTAATCAATTTTTTACCACAATTTTACCCTCTCTTTCCCAAGGATTTTATACACGCTGTAAAAATCTCAGATAAAACAATGTCTCATATAATTATGCCCTATGGATCAGCTCGAGACTCCCTTCTTCTAGGTACCCTGGAGGTCAGTTACATTAAAAACCTTCCCAGAGTTTGTATTTTCCATGGCAAGGGGAAGGAAGAAAATCTCTGCTCAATAAACATTGGATGGCTTTTAGTAAACATACTGAGCTAACCAAACCACTACATCAGATTGTGCATCTGGTGGGAGAATAATTTCCTTATTTTAAGTGGGTATAAGCTTGATCTTTGGGAATGAATTGCATTCTCAATGAGATTCTTTTTTGAAAATATTTATACTTGGCTCCCTTTAGTTTTGATACCTGTGTATAATGACAGCTCTGCAAACTTGCCAACCTGGTTACTATGTTTGTTGTTCACACCATGTAAACAGAAATCCAGTTAAAGTAACCAATCCTTTTATTGCCTTTGAGAACTGTTCCTTCTTTAGTGTTCTGTTTCATCGTTTCAAGAATACCTCGTTTTAATATTTTCTCTGATTTTGAAATTATATGAAAAGAATGCTGGATAAGGCATTCATCTATGTCAGGCTTTTACCATGTCTAACTTTGAAGATTATAGCAATTTCGCTGTATTTTGTTTTTAATAGGAGTATGCAGTAAACTGCCATGTCATCACATGGGAAAGGATTCTCAGCCATTTTGACATCTTTGCATTTGGACACTTCTGGGGCTGGGCTATGAAAGCGTTACTAATACGTAGCTATGGACTTTGCTGGACTATTAGCATCACTTGGGAGTTAACGGAGGTATGCATTACCAGAGTTATAACTGCGAATGTAATTAAGTTGTGTTAACCAAATTACAGATCGTATTGTTTAATCAAGACCTCCTCAGGATTTTGAAGTATTTTGTGTTATTTTAGACTATGTCTGCATCTTGACATGTCAATCTCAACTTGATTGTTTTAAATGAGGAATGGTACAGAATAGAAACAAGACATTGTCTTTTAACTACCAAACCAAGTTACAGAGTGACAGTAAATTTTCTTGTGCTCTTACACTAAAGCCATATGACTAGCAGATACTTGGTGTTTGTTTTATTATTTTGATTTTTACAAATATTAGATCTGAAAATTGAGCATTTAATAAGGAGAACGTGTCAAGAAACAGTCTAGGTTCATGTCCCAATCTGTGCTGAGTAAGCAGGTTTTTAACAATTGCTATGGAAAATGGTAACACGCTTTCCTAGACTAATGGGGGAATAATCAAAGTCCCTGATCCTGTTTGCAATCCAGTTTCCTACTGCTTGGAATAAAACTGTCATGATTTCAAAACATGGAAAATTTGTATGAATTTATAAATCTCACTGGTATTTAGGAATTAACATCAAATGCCAGTGATGCCCATGAGGGAATACAAAATCATTTGACTTTGTAAAAATAACTTTTATAAGAGAGAGCGCAATGATGGTGGAAACTTATTGGAAAAAGTATGCTGCTTTTATGAAAACTTAGTTTAGTTTAACTTCCTCAATTACAGTTTGCAATCTCTTTTGTATATGCTAAGACACTTTAATCCCATGGAGACTATGGCAACCGTTGAGTTTACAAGTTGATTCCACAAGCATTTGCTGAATAGGTATTGTCCAGCCAATGCTATAATTAGGGTTTGTAAATTAACCAAGAATTGTTTCCTGGAGAGTATTATGTGAATTTGTATTTTCTGCTGTAACTATTCTTTATAGATCTACAGAAGGTATTAATTTGCAATACTGTTATTTGTGGTAGCGGCTCCAGTTTTCAACTCCGAATTGAGTAGTGGAATAGCATTTGTTTGGTGATCTAATTTTAAAATTGGTTCTCAAGATGCATACAATTTTGGCAAGATCCCATTTATTCACGTAAACTTTTCCATGTTTTTGCTGAGAGGTGGGGATAGTTTCCTTCTCGGTGAAGAATGGAAAGGGCAGAGTAATCCCTAGGAACAACACCATGTTGTTATGATCATCCTGGAAATGTCAAATCCCAGAACGAAACCTGGCTTGATAGGTCATTTATTTAATGTTTTGTGGTTGGTTAATGTAGTGATTAGTCACTGAAACTCATGCATTCTCATAACAACAGAACATGAGTTTATTGTACAAAAGATAACAAAAACAAACAAAGGTATACAAATAAAGAAGACAGTTAGAAAGATCTTAACAAACACATTAAAACAGAGAGCTTCAACATGTTTTCTAACACTCTGTTACGGAGACTTAATTCCAGAGAAACGGGACCTTTCATGCCCATCTCAACCCAATAAGTTTTTTGGTAGGCAAACAGGAGTCTGGAAGAACACAGCAAGCCAGGCAGCATCTGGAGGAAAGGAGCAGTCAACGTTTCGAGTATTACCCTTCTTCAGGACTGGATGTGGGGGTAGGGGACTCAGGAGCTCCCTCTACCCCACATCCAGTCCTGAAGAAGGGTAATACTCGAAACGTTGACTGCTCCTTTCCTCCAGATGCTGCCTGGCTTGTTGTGTTCTTCCAGCCTCCTGTTTGTTTACCATGGATTCCAGCATCTGCAGGGTTTTTTTGTCCCATTAAGCTTTTACTTAATTAACTTTTCCAATTTCTTTTTCTTGGAATTGGAGGCAGTTTTACAATTCCTGAGTCTGCTAGCATGAGCTCCTCATAGTTTTGATAAGTAAAACTTTCTCGGTTCTAATAATTAAATTTCGATCTAAACTGGTCTGGCTTGTAAGTTCCACAGAGTAGAAACTATTTCTGCAGTCACTGATTGGTTCCCCTGAACTGAGTTGATTATTCTGCCAGAAGAAATTGTTCTATCTTGTGAATTGAGGACTGAATTCTTCTAAACTGAGACCTAGAACCTTCTATTTTGAAGTGAAAACTGAATGGATTTTTTTGATTCGGAGTGTCATATAGCACAGAAACAGACCCTTTAGTCCAAGTTGTCTATGCCAACAAAGTTTCTCAAACTAAACTAGTCCCACTTGTCTCCATTTGGCCCATATCCCTTTAAATCTTTCCTTTTCATGTAACTCTCCAAATGTCTTTTAAATATTTTAACTATACCTGCTACATCTACCACTTGTTCTGGCAGTTCTTTCCACAAATGAACCACCCTCATTGTGAAAAGGTTGCCCCTCAGGTCCCTTTCAAATCTTTCTCTTCTCACCTTAAAAATATGCCCCCTAGTTTTGAACTCCCCCACCTTAGGGAGAAGACATTTTCTATTTAATTTATATATACCCAACATGATTTTACAAACCTCTATAAGTAATGCCCTAATGTGTTTATTGTCTCAGTTATGAACTCAGCATGATAAACATTTTATCCATCATCTCTACAGGGTTCTCCCAGGTGTTTTACTGAAGTCATGTGCCTTCCTGGAATTGATGTATCTAGGTCACTGTCCAAATGACTTTCTGACCTGTCTTTACAGAAAAAGTAAATCTTGACATAACTGACCGAAGTCCATCTGTCTCTATTTATTTTTTTAAAAATACAAATTCCAGAATCTAGGTTTTATACACCTTACATTGCAGTGACCTCAAGGCTGTGATGGATTTTTAAATGCTTCCTTTCTACACGTGTTTGAAACTAGGTGTGATGGTGAGATATTTAGGGATATTTTCTAATCAACCTGTTCAGACTTGTTATTACACAGCTGTGGAGCAGATGAGACATGAACCTAGATCTCCTGGCTCAAAGATAGGGACACTAACGTTGTACCATAGGAACCCATTGAGAGATATTTATATTATTCTGTTAATAAATTTTAAACTGTTCAACTGCTATAAGTTAACATTGATTTTGTTATTTATATGATGCAGCATCATTTCTTTTGTTTGCCTTTTAGCTGTTCTTCATGCACCTATTGCCCAACTTTGCTGAATGCTGGTGGGATCAGGTTATTCTTGACATTCTTCTGTGCAATGGAGGTGGCATTTGGCTTGGTATGGTGGTCTGTCGCTTCTTAGAAATGAGAACCTATCACTGGGGAAGTTTTAAGTAAGTGTCCTGAGTTTTTGTTTGTTCCACATCGCAAAGAATAACAGCACATTAATTGTCCCAACAATTTGTGCTGGTGTTTATACACTACATGGGCAGCTTCTTACATCCTCATCTGACCCCACCCATTAGCATTGCCTTCCACTCATATGCACTTATCAAGTTTCCATTTAAAAACATCTGTGTTATTTATCTCAGCTACGCCTCCCGCGCTCTGGGTGAAAACCTTCCTCTTGAATTTTCCATTGCACCTATTAATGACTTGCCTTACGTATATGGCCTCTATTAGTTTTTTGGAGCACAAGTGAAAGCATTTTTCACTATCTTCATCCAAATAAAACGTCTTCAAAATTTTAAAGACCTGTATCAGACCAGTCCATAGTTTTCCTTTTCTAAAGAGCCCCAAACTTACCAGTCTTTCCTGAACACTATCATTTCTGATATACGACCAAGAGATGTAGGAACAAATATAGGCCAATCGCCCCATCGAATCTGCTCCACCATTCAGTGACATCATGATTGATCTGATAATCCCCAACTCCATTTCCCTGACTTTCCCCCACAGCTCTTGATCCCTTACTGATTAAAAATTCAGTTTCAGCCTTGAATATACTTAATGACCCAGCTTCAGAGGCCCCCTGCAGTAAAGAATTCTACAGATTCGATACCCTCTTAGACAAAAAAAATTCCTCACCATCTCTGTCTAAGTGTGTGACCTCTTATTCCGAGATTATGCCCTCTGGTGCTAGACTCTGCTGCCTTTTTTTTATTCTTTCCTTGTCCTGTTATTACTACTGTATCTGGCCTTGCACCATCAAGTCTTTTGTAATTTTAATTTCCCCTCTCTCCCACCTCATCAGACCTTTCCTTTTTTGTTCTTTTCCAAACCTCCTTGTTTAACGTGTCGCTTGATGAGTATTTTCAACGTTTTCTGTTTCCTCCTTTTTCCATTCTGTAGTTTAATTACTTCATCAATTATTTCTTCTCCCCCTATGCCCCTCCCCACACACACACACTTTTCTGTCTTGTATGTCTAATACCATGTGTCTTTATCAGGGCAATACACACGACCAGTGGAAAGCTGAAACGGGCAGTGTTGCAGTTTACTCCGGCCAGCTGGACATACGTTCGCTGGTTTGACCCAAAATCCTCCTTTCAGAGAGTGGCTGGAATCTACCTCTTCCTGATTATCTGGCAGGTAAAAAATAAATCTGGAGAGCATACATGACTTCTCATTCTGACAAAGATGTTCCATTGTGACTTATTGGGTGCAACTTTCAACTTCAATAGGGCTAGAAATTGGGTGAAAGCAGATCCACCACCCACTGTGCATCATGTTGTGCAGATGGTTGATCTGCCTCAGCGCTCTACCTACTAGCTCATATCCATTTCTCCTGAAATTATACCTCTCACACTTTTTCGTCACTTTGTCTAACCTCACGTAGTAGTGTCGATGCTGTAGGAAGTGTGGGATAAAAATCAAGGAAAAAGAGAAAACACTATGAGAAGGAAGGAGCACAATGGGAGAGGGCAAAATAAGTGAAGAGGAGAGAAAGGGAGGTGTGGCCGTGCCAGTGAGATAACTGTGTAACCTCGGACCCATTTTCTCACTTCTGTAAATGAGTGGCTTGTGAGTTATTAAAACCTTTTTTTTATTGGTTTGGCCCGAGCTGCAGTATTTGAAAGGACGCTTAGTTGAACATTCTGCTTGGGTTTGCTGGCTTGGTCACTTGCTCAGTGCTTGAGACAGTGAAATATATGAGACTATTTAAAGTTTTTGAGAAGATTTTTTCGGCGAGCACGTCTACAACCTTGTGTGAGACTGTGTTGTTCCTTATGGGAATGTTGACTGACATCTAACTGGATAGATCTTTGCTGAATTTGGAGCCTTGAGCTGGCGGGATGAAAACCTGATAATTGAAGTATATTTTAGTACTTATTAATTAATTTAAATTTAAATCTGGGTGCATTGGAGGGAGATGGAAAGCTGGTGCTTTATATTGTTTGGAATTTTCAACATAGATACTATATTTGGTAGGCAGTCTTGAAGTTCTAAGGATAGCAACAGTTTTTTTAGCCTGTTTCATTTCCTCTTTGTGGTACTGGCAATTAATGTTAATGTAACTGTGAAGGATGTGGTCTTATCAAATTTCACAGCTTTTTTTAAATGTGTGATGAGATAAATGCAAATCTGATGAAGGATTTGCATTTCTACCAACAGTATGCTACTTTATTGATCCCTTTCTCCTCTGAACTGATGTTGAAACCCCTCTTTCTTGCTTTTGTTATCTGCAGACTCCATTATTCAGGGCATTCCTGGCTAGTTTCCAACATAAACTTCACAAACTCGGGTTCATTCAAAGCTCTAAGGCCCATGTCTTAACTTACAGCAAGTCCCATTCCTCTATCACCTGTGTGCTTGCTGATTTTCATTGTCTTCTGGCCAAGCATCATTGTGATTTTAAAATTTTCATCCTTGTTTTCAAATTCCTCCATGATTTTGCCCTCTCGTGATTTCTGTAGTTTGCTGAGATAGCTGCACTCAGCTAATTCTGCCAACTTCAGCTCCCCCATTTTAACTTCTGCAACATTGGTGGATGTCTTTCAGTTGCTAGACCTCAAGCTCTGGAATACTTCCCTTGAATCTCTCTGCCAATCTCTCTTTTCTCCTTTAAGACACTCCTTAAGACGTACCACTTAGTGCCTGGTCACCTGACCTAATATCACCTAATGTGACTTGCTGTCATACTTTGTTTTATAATGTTCCTGTGAAGTGTCTTGGGACATTTCATATTTATATTGCATCTTTAATGAAATTGTTGTTTTAATTAGTGATCACAGATTTAAAAGGAAGAAGGTGAATATTTAAACCAGTCTTCAGGACAATTCTGTGCTCTTTTTCATCATGCACGTCATTACATTCTGGTTTCATTTCGGTAATACATTTTGTGTATATTCAGCAAGCTTTGATTTGATAGATTACATTAATATCAACCAATTTTCATTGGAAAACCTTGGACACGTTAGTTGAATATTTTATCAAGTTGTGTAACTCGGCCTGTAAATGATTCAGGTTTTAGCTTGTGAAATTTATGCAGGTGCATTTCTAAAAACCGGCAGAACTGAGGCAGCTGTAAATCAGAAACAAAAACAGAAATTGCTGGAAAAGATGAGCAGGTCTGGCAGCATCTATGGAGAGAAATCAGAGTTGAAGTTTCAGGTCCAGTGACCCTTACTAAGGACTCAAGCAACATGTTGTGAAGAAGGGTCACTGGACCCAAAACATTAACTCTGCTTTTTCTCCACAGAAGCTGCTGGACCTGCTGATCTCTTCCAGCAATTTCTGTTTTTGTCACAGGTACATTTCTGTTGTGAAAGATTTAACTGTCTTAATATCTCCATGCAAAACAGTGAAATTATATACCAAGTTATGTCATATTAAGAAAGCTAAAGAGTTATTTGACTTCATTAAGCATTTTTTTTCTGTTATTTAGTTGACTGAACTGAACACCTTTTTCTTGAAGCACATCTTTGTGTTTCAAGCGGGCCATGTGCTGAGTTACGGTAGAATTCTCTTCGTTGGTGTAATCACAGCTCCAACTGTACGGTAAAGCAGCTTTATCACTTTTCAAATGTACTGTTGATCTCCTGTAGTGTTGATTGCGTGTAGAAAAAATGTGTTATTTTCTAATCGTCATCTACTGCTGATAATTTCTTGTTCCCTTCTGTGTATTTGTCTTCAGCTTTTTTCTCTTAAATTTTCCTCAATCTTGCTCATTCCTTTTCCTCTTTTCTTTCACAGTTTCACTTTTATATACCATCTGCTTTGAAACAGCTACTTGTAGGAAAATTTACATCAGAGCAGTGGAAGTGTTTCAAAAAGAAAATAGTGAAAGCACAGAACCAATATGTTTGTGTAAAGATGAAGGATGGGACCAACAGCAGAAAACCTTTGATATCGAGAAAGCCCAGAATTGGATAAGGTTTTAAAAAATAAAGAAGCTTACAGTAGAAATGGAGGGCTCAAAACACCAGAAGCTCTAGAGGTGTATAGAAAGTTCAGGGGTTACTTAAGAAAAAGGAAATTGGAGAAGCAAGAAGGGCATGAAAAGGGATTGATCAGTAAAATAAAGTCCATTTTAGAAGCATATTAGGGACAAGATGATGACGAGGGGAAAAGTACAGCCCATTAGGGACCAAAGTGGAAAATATGGTGGAGCCAGAAGTCACAAGTGAGGTTTTAAATGAGTACTTTGCATATGTATTCATGATAGAGAAGGACGATGTAGGATTAAAAATCAAGGAGATGGATTGTGACATACTTGAATAAATTACAACTGAGAGGGAGGAAATATGAGCAGTTTTAGCAGGATTGACTTGGATAAATTGCCAGGCCCAGAGTGGGTGGAGATTACAGGGACCCTGACATTAATTTTCAAATCCTGTCTGTGAGCAGGACCGCCCCCATAGGACTGCAGGACAGCTGATGCAACAGTATTCAAATGGATGATTGGGGATGATTGGATTGGCCAAGGAGCTATAGACCAGTGAGTCTGACATCAGTGGTAGGGGAATGTTTGGAAAATATTTGAGCAACAGAGTCAAACCACTTGCAGAAACAAAGATTAATCAAAGAGCCTGATTTTTGTCAAGGGGAGATCATGTCTGATGTAGTGTGCGTGGACTTCAGCAAGGCTTTCTACAACAATTTGCATGAGAGACTGGTCAAGGAAGTAAGAGCCCATGGAATATAGCAAATGGATCCCAAATTGGCTTAGTGACAGGAAGCAAAGGAACTGCTGCCTGAAAGATTGGCAAAGGAGTAGCCATCGCAACATTAAAGAAATATTTAGATGAATACTTGAAATGCCATAGCATACAAGGCTGTAGGTCAGCGCTGGAGAAAATAGGAAGCGTAGATAGGTACTTGTTGAACAGCATGGAAATGATGGGTTGAAGGACTGCTTTCTATGCTGTGAAACTGTATGACTTTATTTCCGTGTTTATTTCATATTTTTTGCTGTGTTTAGTTTATCACGTGTTCCTTTTATTGATTTACTACATTTTGTCTTTCACCATTTTACAATGTAAGTTATACATAGCTGGTTGGAAACCGACATTTACTCAGTGAAAGGATGAGTAAAAACAGGCCATTGCTGGTCAGAACAGTCAAGGAAGTGTGACAGTGAACAGAAGCTAGGGGTTGGGGCTGGACTGAGGGACAGGATACTTGGGCTGGAAGGAGTTTGAGGTCTTCCACTGGAAAGGAGAAATAGCATTGGTGAGAAGGCAGGTTGGATCCTGCCTGGAGGAAGACAGAGCCATCAAATTTTGATTTGACACTGGGAGATAGATCTAAATTTATGAGCTGTACCTTTGGTCAGGTGGTGTCATGTTGATGTTGTGGTCCTGACCAATGTTAGCATATGGTGGGACCGTTGAAACACCAGTAGAGGTGAAATTAATGTGGAGGGAGTAGGACTGCATCTTCGAGTGGAAAGGTGTCAGAAACTGTGGTTTGACATGAAGGGAAAACATTGGTTCCCAAGGCCTAATCCAAGAGGAGGGTAGCAGCAAAGCTGTGATGTAGATCTGAAGAGGGTGAATGTGAAGATCAGAGAAGGAAGTATTGGAAATCTGACAGTTGAGAAATAAACTTGCACTGTTTTAGTAGTACAGAACTTGAATATTGCTGAAAGAAATCACAATTTTTCAAAGCTTTACATCTTGCACTCATCAAGACAACTTACAAGAAATACCAAAGTTAAGGAATAAAGACGTTATACTATATAAGAGGAGAGTGCTGATTGGTCAGCAAGTAGACTTGATTGATAGGGGTGTTGCCATGGAGAATGTTTTGGTTAATTGACCGTTGAATTTAAACAAAACTTAACAGTTAATTGTCAATTATCATTAACTAAACATTCATTGATAGATGTTTTCTATTGAATTCCCCATTATATTCTTACAGGGTTTATTATTTTACTTATTTTCAGTGTCCTTTATTTGAATATGGGATATAGATGTTGTGGGCTAGACCAACAATATTGCCATTTTTAATTGTCTTTAAGAAGATAATATTATTAAGCTGGAGGGGGTTTAGAAAAGATTTACCTGACTGTTGCCAGGAATGCAGGATTGAAATTATTAGGAGACACTGGAGAGACTGGGACTTTTTCACTGGAGGTTGAGGGGTGACCTTATTGAGGTTTACAAAATCATCAGGGATATAGATAAGGTGAATGGCAATTGTCTTTTCCCTAGGGTGGAGGATTTCAAAATTAGGGGGCATATTTTTGAGGTGAGAGGGGGAAAGATTAAAAAAAAGACATGAAGGGCAACGTTTTCACACAAAGGGTGGTTCATGTGTGGAATGAACTTCCAGAGGAAGTGGTGGATGCAGGTACAGTTACAACATTTAAAAGACATTTGGATAAATACATGAAAAAGAAACATTTCGAGGGGTATGGGCCAAGCGCAGGCAGGTGGGACTAGTTTAGTTTGAGATTATGATCAGCATGGACTGATTGGACCGAAGGGTCTGTTTCTGTGCTGTATGACTCTAACAAAAAGGGGTAGGAGCAGAAATAGGTCAGCCAGCCCTTTGGGTCTGCTCCACCATTCAGGAAGATTGTGGCTGATCTTCCACCTCGACTCCATATTTCCACACTGCTCCTACACGCCATCACTCCCTTAGTGCCTAAAGATCTGTGTTGAATATACTGAACCTCTGAAAATCTGCAGTAGAGAATCCCAAAGACTGTTAGCCCATTGACTGACCAATTATTCTGAAACTGTGACTCCAGGTTGGAAACTCCCCAGTCAGGGGAAATTTCTTGCTGGTGTCTAGCCTGTCAAGTCCCTTAAGAGTTTTATGTGTTTCAATTAGATCACTTCTCATTCTTCTAAATTCTAGGGGAATATAGGTCTACTCTACACAATAAATCTTCATAGGACAATCCTGTCATCCCAGGAGTCAGTCTAGTGAACCTTTGTTGCACTCCCTCCAAGGCAAGTATATCCTTCCTTAAGTAAGGAGACTAAAACTTCATAGAGTACTCTGGGTCTGGCCTCATCAGAGTCCTGTATGATTATAGTAAGACTTCTTTACTCTGAAACTCCAAGCCCTGTGTGATAAAGGCTAGTATTCTAGTTGCCTTCCTGAAGCTGGCTGTATCTACATGTTGGCTATCTGTTATTCGTATTCAAGGTCACCCAAGTCCCTCTGACTAGCAACATTTAGCAGTCTACCAGTACAAGCACATTAACTAGAGGCAGAAGCAGGCTATTGGGCCCCTCAAACCTTCTCCGCCATTCAGAATGGTCGTTGCTGATCTGGTTGTGTTTCAAATTTCCCATTCCCATTCACCTATGATAATCTTTGATTCTCCTGCCTAACATCATCATCTACGTCAGCCTTAAAAATAAACCCAATGATCCTGCCTTCAATACCTTCTGAGACAGGGTGTTCAGTTTTCTTTTTAGAAAAGTTCTATTTCTGTACTCTTCCTTTCTAAGTGAATAAGTTCATGTTTCCTTGTCCATAACATCTACATTCCTCATTTTCCCACCTATTGTTAGTAAACCTAGTTTGTAAAAATCAGTTCCCTCAAGTACATCATTGATTTGGATTGTAAATGATTGCTGCTCAGGCACTAGCCCTTGTGGGCCAGCTAGCAATGTACAGCCTGCAAACCCATAAATTCCCATTCATTCCTACTATTTGTTTTCTGTGAGTGGTTAATCCTACATTCTTTCTGATATATTACCCTCCATGCCATGTGCAGTAATTTTGTGTAATAACATCTTGTGTGGCACTTCATTAAAGGGATTTTGAAAAATCCACATACGCTGCATCTATTGATTTCCCCTCGTCAAACAGTTTCCCTTTAGACTGAAAACAAAAAATGATGGAAATCACAGTGGGTCAGGCAGCATCTGTGGAGAGAAAGCAAGCTAACATTTCAAGTCTAGATGACTCTTTAGTTTGCTCTGATGAGTCAACTCGACGCAACATTATCTTGCTCTCTCTCCACAGATGTTGCCTACCTGCTGTGATTTCCAGCATTTTTTTTTGTTTTCAGTACAGATTCCAGCATCTGCTGTAATTTGCTTCTTGTTTCCCTTGCATGTCAATTCTCGTTCATCACATGATTTTTTAAATAGTTCGATTACATTTGCTATATTCCAGTCCATTAGAACTGTTCTAAAATCCAGAGTGTTCTAGAAAATTAAAACAATGTGTGCATCCCCTTTTAAAACCCTTCAATGCAGACCACCAAATCTAGGGGATGTGTCAGGTTTCAAAATCATTATACTTCTCCTGCACTATTCCTTTACTACTGCTAATTTCTTTAATTTTCTCATTTTCACTAGACTCTTGATTCAGTACTATCTCCAGAATGTTCTTTGTGTCTTCTGCTGTGAAGACAGACACACAGTTTTTATTTGTAGTGTCTGTCATTTCCTTATTTTGTAATCTGTCAAAGGACAATAAGAAAAAATGTGCAGGTAATAAAGTATAGTAATGAATTAATTAAAAATTGAAATAGTGTATATGCCTAGAAGTAACAAGGAGCCTAACAAAGGTAACAGGGCATTATTGACTAAAGTGACGTCAGCAAACACTAGAAAAGAGTTAAAAGTTAAAAGCACCATAAGTGAAGAACATTTACAAATAAAAAGGTGGATAGCACAGGTAGAAGATATTGGGTTTGATCTAATCATTGTGACAACAGGGAAGCTGATGGCTTGATGATATTATCATTGGACTGTTAATCCAGAAACCCAGATAATATTCTGGGGACCCGGGTTTGAACCCCACCACAGCAGATGTTGCAATTTGAATTCAATAAAAAAAGTCTAGAATTAACAATCTAATGATGACCATGAATCCATTTTTGATTGTTGGGAAAAACCCATCTGGTTCACTAATCTCCTTTAGGGAGGGAAACCGCCATTCCTACCTGGTCTGGCCTACATGTGACTCCAGATACACAGCAATGCGGTTGACTCTGAACTGCCCTCTAAATGCTGCCTAGCCAGCAACACTCTCACCTTGTTAATGAATTTTTTTTAAAAAAAGAGGGTGGAGTTTAACTCACTCAAACTCATTTATTTTCAAAGTTGAGAATAGACCCACGGTTGCAGAGTGGATTAAGTTCGGAACAATATATTCCAGGACGTTCTTAAGAAAAAATAACAATTTAAAGTAGAATTTCTACATAAACTTCAATGGGATAAGGAGGAATCTAGTCAGGGTGAAATGGAACCAAGGACTAATAGAAGAAACTATATCAATCAATGAGTGATTTTTAGTGAGGAAATGTTTCAAGGACCAGAATTCCAACAAGAGCAAAAGCTTGAAGTGATTTGTTTTGGCGGGAAGAATATTAATATTAAAATGAAGAATACAATTCTCTCAAGAGGTGTAGAAGCAGAGGGACCTGGGTGGAAATGTGTATCATTGGAGGTGGTTGGAAAGGTTTAGAGTGCAGTGAAGAAAACATGCAGAATCTGAGGCTTCAGTAAAAAGTTGAGTGTTCAAGAGCAAGGAGGTTATGCAAAACCTCAATTAAACACTAACTTGTTATCAGCTGGAGTATTGTGTCCAGTTCTGGCTACTGTACTTCACAAAAGATGTGAAGGCATTTGAGAGTGTGCAGAAAAGATTCACAGATGTGTCGCGGGTTAAGGAACTTTGGTTATGTAGGTAGTTTGAGAAGATGGTGCGGTTTTCCTTGGAGAAGGTTGAGAGCTGATTTAGTGGAGGTATTCAAAATTATGAGGGATCTGGACAGAGTAGATCGAGATAAACTGGTGGAAGGAACAGGATTCAGAGAGTGCAAAATTAAGGAAATTGGCAGAGGAAAAGGGAGACATGAGGAGAAACCTTTTCACACAGTCGGTAGGATTTAGAATGTGCTGCCTGAGAGTGTGGCGGAAAGTGGGCTCAAACAAGGTATTTAAAGGGGATTGAATTACACTCTTGGAAAAAAAACAAGAGTAATTCCGTGATTTTTGTCATTGAGGATCATTGGTTTATGTTTGCGTCTCCTAAAATTTCTACTTCTATTGCACTGCTCAGAACACGCACTTTAAAGTCACCAGTGACATCCTCTGTTGTGTCACTTGTAGCATTTAACATATTCTTGCATAACTTTTCACCACTGTCTGCCTCCTCAGCATTGCCTTCACTTGCTTATACTGTTGTCTGTCACAATCTAGCTAGCACAAGTTTAGCATTGAGGCAGGAGTGGAGGGGGAGAAATGCCAGTCATCTTCAGTGCCCAAGTTTGTAGTCTTGGTTCCTTTTTTCATAATGCAGTACTCATCCATTGGCATCTAATCAGTTTCCAGATAATTGCCCCAACTTTGCAATCCTTCACGTTCCTCAGACACATATCTGGCATCAGGTTGTGGATGAACTTGAACTTTTCTCAACCGTTTTTCCATCCCAATTCCCAGTTTCTTGCTGTATTACAAAGAAAACCTGAGCTCTAAACATATCTGTTCATCATCAAAGTCAGAAGAACTTTAGTGTATAACTTTAGTATTACAGTGGGCACTCTAGTTATGAGTAGCTGTTGAGCAGAACTCACTGCTTATGCACATGAGCTGTTTGGTGAAGATATTCTTCATTAAAGGGGCTGTTGAATTGCAAGTTATTGAATGTGTAATTGAATGTAGCATGAGCTACAAAAATGGATGTTACTTGCAGTATAGATTTTGTGACACTTGTGAATAAAATACTTGTTCAATGTTTTGTTTTCAGGCAGTATTATGCTTATCTCACTGACACTCAGTGTAAAAGAGTAGGGACACAGTGCTGGGTTTTTGGGTAAGTTGGTTATTTCTTTAACTCTTCCTCAACCATGTTAATTTTATGATATTTAACTCTTCAACATGCATGTTTTCTATCAATAATTGACTAAAAGCAAAACGAGAATACCTCCTAATCAACGATGCAGCGTTCTCTTAAACATTTTGATCAGTTCAATTCATCTAACTTCCAGAAAGAAAGCAGATGTTCTTTCTATCTTGCTTCAAGCCTCCTGTTTATCTGCCCTGATGTAAACTGAACCAAAACTTTAGAAATGTGGAGATTGTGAATTAAATACAAACCTATCTAATAGGGTTTGCGTGCCCTCTGGTGGTAGGTTGAAAACATATTGTGAATTTTATTCTCGGATATGGACAGAGCAAAATAATTCTACAAATAATATGTAATAGAATTGTATGATAGCTGATACTTTAATCACTTATACTTGGAAGTTAAAAACATAGATTCTGGAATAATTGATTTATGAAATTAGTATTATTGCTACTAACAAGTATCGTGAAATGTATCTAACTTCGCTAAATTCAACATTATAGAACTGAAATTTAGGGAGACATTAAAAGTGTAGTTAATGTAATCCTGGAATAAAGCAAACATCAGGAAGGTTTATTTAAATGAGGCTGGCTAAATGCAAGACATTTTCCTGCTATTCTTGAGCATATGCCCTAAGGGGCAATGAACTATGTTTACACCATTCGCAACAATGAAACTGGTTGCAAACTGAACATAAAAGAGAATGTTGGAAAAACTCAGCAGGTCAGGGAGTTTTTGTGGACAGTGAAATATTTTAACGTTTCAGATTGAAACTCTCATCAGAACCAGGAATACTGATCGCAGTTACGAACACATTGTCAAAATCCAGAACAATTTATTTATCACTGTGTACCACAAATGTTGATAAATCAGTTCTGTTCTTGAATGGTTAGTACGGTTTTGTGACTAGCCTGTTAGCAAAATCCTATTTCTGCACTTTGAAAATCCACTTGAAGGTAGAAAGCCGTCGTACAATTGGACGGTGAATTTTGTGCTTGTAACGTATTGTAGAATGTAAGTAATGTAACTAAGATTAATGTGCTGCTCGTCATAGATGTGTACTTTCCATCAGAAATAACTCATTGGGAATGTTCTCACCTTTGAGTCACCAAGTGGTGGGTTGAAGGCCTATTCCAGAGTCTTGAGAACAAGGTCTAAACTAACACTCCAGTGAAATCATCCAAGAGTGCTGCACTGTTGCAGGTGTAGTGTCCCACATACAATGTTTAACAAGGCTCTTTCTTTGCTCTCGTGTGTGTATGAAAGAGCCCACTATACAATTTCAATGTAAAGAAGTCGCGTTGTCCCGGCTACTGTGCCCTAAATTGTAGAGGGAGGGGATGGCGTAGTGTAAATGTCATTGCACTGGTATTCCAGAACGTTAGGCTAATGTTCTGAGGACATGGGTTTGAACCTCACTGTGGTAGACGCAAATAAAAATTTGTAAATAAAAGCTATTCTAATGGGAACTGTTGATTTTTGTAAAAGCCCGTAAGACATAGAAGGAGGTGTAGGCTATTGAATTCATTGAGTCTCCTTGGCCATTGGTTTATTAATGTCCTCTAGGAAAATAAATCTGTGTCTTTACCTGATCTGGCCTACGTGTGACTGCAGACCTACAGCAATGCGCTTGAGATCCCATGAATGAAAACTTGGAAAAATAATTCATAACGGCTTAGTTGGGCTTCATCACGTTGCAGTTTGTGGGATCTTCCTGGATTTGAATTAGCTACTGCGTTTCCTATATTACAAAGTGACTTTGAAATATTATTTAAATGTTGATGGATTGGGAAAGGTTGATGTACAAAGTGACCTAGATGTTCTTGTACACCAGGCACAGCAAGTAACCTTACAAGTGCAACAACCAGTTGGGAAGGCAAATGGTATCTTGGCCTTCATTCCGAGAGAATTTGAGTTGATGTTTTCCTAATTGGCCTGTTCACAGATGTTATTACATACATCTGGAGTAGGTGGGATTTTAACCCAGGCCTCTTGGTCTAGAGGTAGCCGTACCACTACAGCACGAGAGTCAGAGAGATTGAGACCTACAGCACAGAAGAAGGCCCATCGAAACTGCACTGGTCAGAAACAGCTACCTAGATATTCAAGTCCCATTTTATATAGCACTTGGCTGATACCTTGTATGCCTTGGCATCATAAGTGCACATCTAAATACTTCTTCAATGTTATGAGGAGTTCTGCCTCTACTACCCTTGGAGCCAGGAAATTCCAGATTTCCACCACCCTCTGCTCTCAAGTTTCACCTCTCATCTCCTCTAAACATTCTGCCCTTGCCTTAAATCAATGCCCTGGGTCATTGATCCCTCCATCAAGGGGAAAGATTTCTACCTGTCAACCCCTGTCTATGTCCCTCATAATTTTATATCTCTCAAACATGTCCCCTCTTAATCTCCTGTGCTCCAAGGAAAACAGCCCCAGTCTATCCAACCTCTTTCCATAACTAAAACTCTCTGGCTTGGGCAACATCCTTGCAAACCTCCTCTGCATCCTCTCCAGTGCAATCACATCTCTCATAAAATGTGAATTCCAGAATTGCACACAGTATTCTTGCTGTGACCTAATCAACATTTCAAACCGTTCCAGCATAACTTCACTGATGTTAGAATCTATGCCTGGATTAATGAAGGCAGGTATACCATCTGCCTTCTTAACTACTTTATTCACCTTTCCTGGGACCTTAAGGGACCAGTGTATATGCATACTGAAATCCCTCTGATCCTTGGTTCTTTCCAGGGTCCTACTGCTCATCGTGTATTCCCTTGCATTGTTTGTCCTGCCCAAATCCATCACTTCACATTTAATTAGACTGAATTCTATTTGCCAATGATCAGCCTGTCTGACCTGTTCATCTGTATCCTCTCTTAACCTAAGGCTATCCTCCTCACTATTTACCAAACCACCAATTTTTGCAACATCTGCAAACATATTGATCAACCCTCCTACATTCAAAACTAAATCATTTATATGAAACACAAATAGCAAGAGACCCAACACTGACCCCTGGGAACCCCAGTGGACACAGATTTCCAGTCAGAAAAACACCCCTCAACGTGCCATTTAGCGAATTGTGAATTCAATTTACCAAATTTCCTTGGATGCCATGGCTTGTTGCCTTTGCTATCAGTCTCCCATCCAAGTAGACTACGCCGAATACATTGCCCTCATCTACATACCTGGTCGCCTCTTCAAAAAACTCAATCAAGTTGGTCAGACAGAGGCTCCTTTTAACAAAATCATGCTGATTGTTCTTGATTAATCCCTGCCTCTCCAAATGCAGGTGAAATGAGTACCCTTACAGGGTTTGAGTACCGGAGCAAGGAAGTCTTGCTGTAGCTATACAGGGTGAGACCACACCTGCAATATTGTGCAGTTTTGATCTCCTTACCTACATTCTTTTTGATATGTATGGGCCTTTGAGCGGTGACACAGTGGTATATCTTAGAATGAACATTGTGTTTTAATGAAGATATAATTGCCATAGAGGGAGTGTAGTGAAGACTATCTAGACTGATTCCTGGAATGATTGATTTTGATGTATAAGAAGTGACTGGGTTGAATGGGACTGTATTCACTGGAGTTTAGGAGGGTAAGAGCGGATCTCATTGAAATGTGCAAAATTCTGACAGGGCTGGACAGACTGGATGTGTGGATGATGTTTTCCCTGACTGGGGTGGTGGGGGCATGTCCAGAACAAAGCTGGGTGATCACAGTTTCAGGACGGCAGGTGATTACAGGCCGAGTTTGTTATTTCTTCACTCAAAGGCTGACGAACCTGCGGAATTCTCTACCAAGGAACTCTGCGGATGCGATGTCACGGAAACTATTTAAGAAAGAATTGGTGAATTTCTAGAAGCTAAACGTGTCAAGGGGAATGGAGAGAAAGTGGGCATGTGGCGTTGAGGTAGAGAATCGTAAAGAATGGCGGAATGTTCTCAATGGACCAAGTGGGCTAGTCCTGCTCCTGTTTTAGGATTAGAATTACATTTTATTATCACATGCACTTTAGGAATACAGTGAAAAGTGTAAAAGTTGCTACTCTCCAGTGCTAGCTCGATAACAAAAACCAGAATTTAAAAAAAAACAGCAAATAATGAAACCGAGTCGAAAGGAAAGAAAAACATCCAGATCTTAAGGAAAGAAAAATGTCCAGATTTTGAAGTCCCATCTCAGTAAAGGTGTATGGAATGCTCAGCCTCCAATACATACCCCCTCGCTGCGGCGTGCAGTTTGTTACTGACGCTGCTGCCTCTGATCACTGGGAGAAGCTTTACCGCTTTCCACTTCAGCATAAGCTCAAGGAACAACAAGTTAACTGTTTAGACACTTTACAGCCATCTCTAATCATTGTAGAATTCAGCAGTTTCTAAATGTTAGCTATTAACGATGATTAAACTTTCCCCAATTATACATCCTCGGTACACTTCCTTTTGTTTATTTATTTGTTCCACAACAACCTCTCTTTGCCTTTCATTATCTCCTGCTCATCCATTAATCTTTTTTGGCCTTCCACTGTGTCACAGAGCATTCCGTTCGGTAAATTCTCCTTTTCCACTTTCCTTGCCTTACTTTAAAACTAGCCTCTTTTGAAGTGTAGTTGCTGTTGTGATGTAGGAAATGCAGCAGGCAACAAATCCCACAAACAACAATGTCATTTTGGTTGAGGGATAAATTATTGTCCGGGATAATGGAACTCTCCACCTGCTCTCTTTGAAATAGTATTACGGAATCCTTTATATTCAGGCACCTGAATAGTGCAGTAGTTGCTCAGTCTCGCACTGGAGTGATAATCTTGATTCTTTTCAAATGCTTGGGTCCTGGAGTATGTTTGTATCCCAACTTTGAGACTTTAAGAGCTGAGAGTGAGATTCCTTCCCAGGCACGGTGATGCACAGCAATTTGAAAGTTCCTGCCCATGCTAGTCACAAGTGCGAAAATGCCCGTGGACTCCAAAGAAATGAGTGAATATGTTATGTGAGAATAGTACTGATGGAGTCACAGCTTACACCTGCATAATAGTTCTAACATCAGATCCTCCCAGACCTCAAACATCTTGTGTAGGCTTGGATTGAGGAACTTCACAAGTTTCCCACATCATCGTCACCACGGTCTCATTTCTGACTCACCACAAACAATGTAACATTAAATTTGTTATTGCAGTTATAACAATACTATGGCTTTAAGAAGTGTATTTTATTCTTTTTAGTTTGAAGAGAGGTTTTGAGGCAGAGATGATGAGCTGTCTCTTGAAAGCTGTTAAAGTAAACAGCTTCTGAGGCCTTTGGGTTTTTCTTTTAAAGTTGGAACAATAGAAGCAGCCTGAATGGGTGGGGAAAGCTCCCACAAAACCAGGATTTTTAGTTTTAGCTCTCAGCAGTTATTGCTGCGGTCTCGGCACGGTTTGGAAGTTGCAGTACATCCCTTCCTGCCACACTATCTCAGAGTTTTCTCTCGGTGTTTTCCTGCTGCTGGAGTTGCATATGAGATGATTTGTTTTCTGAATTTGCCTTTGTCAAGGCTATGTTTATTGGATGTTACTATATTAGAGCAATTAATTAGTAGTAGTTACTGTATCTCTTGTTTTGTTAAGCATTCCAATAGAGTTATCACTAAGCCAATTCTTCTCTTTATTTTTTTCTTTTATATTTTACCTATAGTGTATGAATAAAGTTTGTTTTGCTTAATGTGGAGTAATATGACCAATCAACTTGCGTCTGGAACCCAACACCTTACACTTACCTTTAAAATAAAAGAATGTTAGGGTCTAGGCTACCTTTTTAATATATTTTGAGGGGGTTGGGCCTGGTCCATAACACAGCAAGCTACTTAGCAGGAAGAAATTTATTTTTCTTGAATGCATTTTGTGACATCTAGAAAACTTCAAATTCATCCTAAAAGCTGTAGGCTATGGACTGCAGGCTGTGACTCGGGACTTATTTGATGAGATCTGTCTAACTTTTTTTTTTAAATGTTAACAGTGCCATTTCTTTTCTGGAAGCGCTAGTGTGCATCAAGTTTGGTCAAGATTTGTTCTCTAAAACAGTGGGACTGTACGTCATTCTTTGGCTTATTTGCATGGTAAGAAATTTCAACATTATTGTTCTAGTAAGTTTGGTATTAATTTCAAGTTGCAGCAGGATGTCTACATTCAACCTTAAGCTCAATTGTTAACTAAGGCCCTGAAATTTATGTTGGGCTGGGTGTCGTGGGATAGGGTGTAGTCACAGCAGCAGCGAGATCCTGGCTTATTTTGACAGCAACTCCTCAGTAATGTTTTCTCCCCCACCACCCTTCCATGTCCCAGGAGCAGCAGCCAGTCGGAGTGAGGCCTTGAGCTGGCTCCAGGATGAGAGGTCTGCACCAGAGGGTCATGGTCAGGAAGCGGAGAGGTGTGAAAGAGGATTGGGGTTGAGGGGAGGGAACTTTTGTGAAGATCCCAAGTTGGGCAGGGTAGATTGTGGGATAAAGCATTGATTTTGTTTGTGGAGTGAGGGGAAGCGCTCCCACCATCTGAGCCTGGGTTGGGGTTGGGGGTGGGGGTGGGGGTAGCAGTGGTGGGAGGTGGGGGGAGGTTGTGGTGTACTGGATGATCAAGGACAGTCATATTTGTTTTCCTTGTGAGTTTGTGCACTGTGGTTGTTGCCCAACAGGGGAAGTTCTCATCACTCGGCACCTTTCTGGTCGCTGTGTCAATGAATTGTTTTAATAAGTTGATCACTTTATTGGGAGAAGAAGGGAATTTGGGAAGGAGTAAAATTATTTGTAACTGATAGAATCATTTACCATGTATATTATAATTGAGGGAAGTTCAAATTTTTGTGAAATTGTTTCCTTCACTTCTGTTATTGTGACTCAGTTTCCATCAACTTATAGAGTTGCACAGCATGGAAACAGACCCTATGGTCCAACTAGTCCAGGCCGTGTTCCCAAATTAAGCTAGTGCCACTTGCCTGCGTTGAGCCCATATCCCTGCAAATCTTTCTATTCGTGTACTTATCCAAATGTCTTTTAAATGTTGTAACTGTACCTGCATCCACCACTTCCTCTGACAATTCATTCCATAAATGAACCACTGTCTGTGTAATAGTGAGAAGCTACTTTTATCAGTCTAGTACTGGCCTATCACATTAAGAAGTTAATACTCCTTTCAAGGTTTAACATATAGTGTTGAAAATACCTCAGTAGGTGTGATTTTGTTTTATTTCGTAACAAAAAGCTGGCAATCTTTGCATATTACAGGTATAATATCTGGTTTATAGCTTGGTTTCAGCATTATAGAGTAGGGATTTTCAAAGGTTTTGCTTCTTTTGCATTCCTGCCTTGTTATGAAAGCTCGACAGGCATCTGTAACTTCAGTTTAATTTATAATTTTGATTATTATTTTATCATTTCTGTTTTACTTGATGTGAATCTTGTTGTCAGTGGCCTAACTACATTTATGTCAAGACACTGGTATTACCTTCGACAGTCACATGTTTGTCTTGGTCAGTGTTCACTCTGACTTGACACTTCATTTTATTGGTGCCCCTGCTGAAAATCAAGCTTTGCATTTGTGGGTTGTGCAGTAAAAAATGGGGCCAACTACTTGCAGTGCTGCAGAAGAAGCAGTGTATTCCCACCCAGGAAGACTCCCACCCTCCTGGCTGCCCCAGATACCAGGAGCTCCCTCTGCATAGAAGCTTAACTCCCTGAACACTCCAAAAATTCAAACACAACAGTTGGCTCAGTTAAGGGCTGGGAACGTTGGCTCAGAAAATATCAGCAACTACCAGATTTTATTGGATGTAAGTAGTGAAAATTTTATTTAAAGCATTGTCAGCTGTTTAGTTTTAATGTCGAACTTTGTACATGACTTGATGTCACCAAATTTAAAGATTAATCAATTAGGCACTGCAGATTTAGAGCTTTAAGTGCTGTATTTTGTTCTTGCAACCCACAAAAGAAAGTATCTGCAAAGCTCACTGAGTCGATAAATTTTAAAAAAAGAAAAACTCCAAACTGGAAATCTGAAATGAAAGCAGAAATATCTGGAAATATGCAGCAGGTTAGAGAGAAGAGCCTAGTTGCTGTTTCAAATGAGTCGTTTTCCCAGAATAGAGTTATACAGTACAGTAACAGACACTTTGGTCCAATCAGTCCATGCCGACCATAATGCCAAACTAAACTAGTCCCACCTGCCTGCGTTTGGCTGATGTCCCTCCAAACCTTTCTTATTTATTAACTTATCCAAATGTCTTTCAAACATTGTTACTGTTCCCACATTGACCACTTCCTCTGGAAGTTCATTCCACACACAAAAAAGTTCCCCTCATGTATTTTTTAGATCTTTCTCCTCTAACCTTAAAATATGGCCCTTCGGAAGATATTCACCTTATCTATGCCCCTCATGATTTTATAAACCTCTATAAGGTCACCTTTCAGCTTCCTATGCTCCAGTTAAAAAAAAAAAGTGCTTGCTTATGATGCTGAGTATTTGCAGCATGTTTTGTTTATTTAATGAAAATCCATTTTGTCACAAATATGTTTCTGGATAAAAGGGAATGATTTCATTATTAAATCATTTTTTCTGAGTATATATAGGACAGTAATTTATTCACAGCTTAATATACAATTTAATTTGTATGTAGAACTCTTGAGCAATGCTGTACAAAGAGTTGAGAAGGCTCCTCAGACAGGTCCTGGTCTTTTAGAGTTTGCTGATTAACTCCCAGCCTCCACTAAAAATAATATCATTTTGTTGTCCTGCATTAGTTTTGTACAATGGGAAAAATGAGTGAAAGTGTTGGATGATACTTCATTTTACTCTTTGTTAGGTTGCTTGTGAGGTAGACGTAGAATATAGAATTCAGTGCAGACTACCAAATTAGGTTTTTGCTTTATTTCAGGCTTTCATTACCTTCCTTTGTCTCGCTGTAATGGTGTGGTATGCTGAACATTTCGGACAACGTGAAAAAGTGAGTTTTTGAACATGATATTGACTCCCTTGTAAACATTTGTTTACTGCGTAAGGTTGTTCAGATTTAGGGTATGTTACTGTTGAGCATGATCTCTGGTTTAATTCCTCATGCATTCTGAGATCACAGAAGTGTTATGATGCAGAAGGATGATATTCGGCTGCCTGTACCAGCTCTTCAGACATGGATCTTTAACTAGTGCCAATCTCCTGCTTTTTTCCCCAGACCTTTGCACGTTATTTCTATCAAAATAACATCCAATGCCCTCTTGAATGCCTCAATTGAACCTGCCTCCGCCACATTTCCAGGCACTACATTACATACCCAAACTATTCACTACGTGAAGAAGTTTTTTTTTCTCACATCACCTTGCTTCTTTTGAACATCTCTTTAAGTCTTTTCCCTCTCCTTCATGTTCCTTTTAGAAGTGGGAACAACTCCCTATTTACTCTAGAGATAGTAGGAACTGCAGATGCTGGAGAATCTGAGATAACAAGGTGTAAAGCTGGATGAACACAGCAGGCCAAGCAGCATCAGAGGAGCAGGAAGGCTGACGTTTCGGG